AGTCAGCAAAACGCAAACATCCAAGTGCCCGCACACATCAGCTGCATTACTGTACAGGCGGGTAATGAGATTAGACAGGTCCACTGCTGGTGGAATGAAAACTGGCCGAGGCTGGCTCCCACTTCCCAGATTCAACCCAGGATGGAGGTGGACATAGAGCGTACGCTCGACTCGCTGAGCAGCTGAGCTGAGCACCGGAGCAATGCGTAACGGAAGGGTGTGGAGAGGAGACGTCAGGACAAGGATGCCTGTGCTGAACATGGACATGTTACCTGCGGATGTCACAGAGATTCACAGTGCTAGGGAAGTCACTGGATTGGGGTTGGCTAAACACTGAAAGGGATGGAAAGAGAAAGACAGTTAAAAAAAAAATCTGTCTGAGACTGTAAAGTAAAAATGCCATGTTATAATTAAATTACAGCAAAAATAATAATAATAAAAAAATAAAAAATTCAAGCTATAGTACACTTACACCAATATATGATTAATCCTTGTTTCCTCATCAGTTGATACACTTATGGTATCAATTTAAAAATCCTACTTTGTGAAGAAAGTTGGGTGTCTAAGTCGTCCACTCACCAAGCAAGGTGACAACAAAAGCCTTTTAAGGCTGTGAGGTAACCATAATCGTCACTCTCTTCCAAATTGATGTTTTAAACATTGGTACTAGTGTAAGAGACAGGGCGCATTTAAAATCATAAAATAACTTATGGTTTTGTTCTCCGAAAAGTTGGGCATAACACTGACCACGACCTACATCAAAACATGAAATAAATAGAATACCTCAATTAAAATAAATATGCAAAGTCCAAATAGCTCAGTTAGGGAGTTAGCTTATACAAAAGCAGCAGCACAGTTAACCTTTTATCCATTGAAAGCTTAACTGGACAGCACAGTTTCTGTCATATTTCAGGCTGCTTATGGAACAAAAATGACTGGGTTTGCATCAGAAGTTGGCAAGGGTAGTTTCTGCCTATGCAGCTACCCTTAGAAAAACTTGGAAACCATTCTAATAGAAATCAAACCACGTTTTTATTGATATATACTGAGAAGCCAAAACTCGTCATTAAGGGTTCAGAGGAGGTTGTCAAATGCCATCTTTATTGGGGAAAGATTTCAATTGAAAACAGGAGAAAAAAGTAAAAATAAAGTTTAAAAAAACCCCTCAAAGAATGCAAGTTTAAATGTAACAACAGATTCAATAAACCGATCCACAAGGCCTGTAACACTGTGGGTGTGGAGCTTGATTCTTTGACAGAGGTCTCAGAAAGGAAGCTACTGTCCAAGTTATGATCAGTACTGGACAATCCTTCACACCCTCTCCATCTAATGCTGTCACCACAGAAGCATGTTTTGCAAAAGACACCACAGAACATATCTACCTGTGACCATCAAACTTTACAACTCCCCCTTATGACACCTGGATAGTTTTTACTTGTACCATCTTGTTTAAAGTGTACATTTTGCTTTTAATATTTCATAAATTTTATGAAAGTCAGCATTTACAACAAAACAATATAATCCTCTGATAATTAAGTAAAAATGTACCAGGCAAGGCTTCCTTTATATGGCCTTGTGTCAGATGTTAGAGAAAGACTGGTGCTGAGGGTGGTCCTCTTAGCAGTCCTTTACATATTTAGACAATGTTGACACTATTTGTGTCCCATTTGTTGTTGCTGTAAGCATGTTGGATGGCTTGGAATTACTGATACATGCTATGGCTAAAAATTGGGGAGCAGTCAGACAGCGTTTCAACTGCAGATAACATTATCAACACCCGTGCTATGTCCTCGGTTGTGTTTACCTGATGCAATGAGTTGCAATAATGGAATGATTTACAAGCTTTGACAAGAGTTACTTAAAAACCCTCACTTCAGTTGAGGCTGCTTCTCAGCAGTTACTCTGTAACAGTTTAAAACAGAGACATTGTGTCTGTGCAACAAATCCCATTTGGGTCAACAGCCAAAGCTGCTGGTGATCATTGCACGCACAAGCGACATGACTAGACAGACAATGAACCAACTCCAGAAAGTGACCGATCACACAAGGCACTAATACACAGTTTCTAACACTCGTTTCTGGTTATAATCCTTCCACACAGGTACATTACACTTCCTACGCCGACTGCTGACTTTAAGATCTTCATCAGTTGGATCTGAAATCTTGTCTGCTTTTTTCCTGTGGCCTCAAACCTTCCTATTGCCTCAGTGATTAGGGTTTGCAGTTGGGGGGAACCTTTGAGTTGAATACGCATATGTGGTGTAGCAAGCTTCTTTAAGAGCTCAGTGAGAAAGACTGATGATTGATAATTCCATTCTTGAATTCAGGGTGCTGAGCTGTGAAAAAGGTGTAGCCATTCAGGATGGTAATGTCAAGTTGTACCACACTTGCAGGTGTAGGTGCCAACCATCTGGTCCATGGTATCTATACTTCCTTTGGCTTGTTGTTGAATGTGATCAATTATATGTTTCCCCCTCCCCTTTCTGGTATTTTAATCCAACACTTTGTTACAATACATTGTGCTGAGGAGTACAACAGTCGCCCTTTTCTTTCTGACATAGCCAACTATGGTAAGGCTGCCATTGAATCCAACCTCTGTGTTGTAAACTTCCCAGGATGAGGAAGGATGGAAAGATGTCTGCCTTGTCCCATTGTAGTTCCCACAATTGTGTCTCCAGTAGACACTGTGCAAGAGGCACACTGGAGAAAAAGTCATCTGTAGTGAAGTTGTGTCTTGTGTTTATGAGTCTACTCCACAACCAGTGGACAATGTTTTCCCTCAGCTTTTTCTGCACTTCTTTCACCAAGTAAATTATTCCAAATATTATATTGCAGATGTCGGCATAACAAATGCAAAAGATTTTCAGGCCATACTTGACGGGCGTGTTTGGCATCTACTATGGAAATTTTGTCTCCCCCACAAGTTGACCATCTAGGGTGGCACAATCACTGGTGATGAACACTGTCTGAATGATGAATGAATACCATCTGTTAATTCTTGCTGTGAAAAATAATCTCCCTAAGTGGTGATACTCTAGCGGCCCACGAAAATATATATTCCTGACATTAACAGTTGATAAGAATCAAAAGATTCCATTGGAAATGAATGCAGATCATTTTTAATCACTTATGGAAGTTTGGTGTAGTAATACAACAATGACAATTTTGTAAAAATGTTTAAAAGGCCATTTAAAAATGTAAATGGCATGACATTAAAAACATGTTTTTGAGGAATAGCTGGAACATGGAATGCAAACAACTTGTCATTAATTAGATATTGCAAGAAAACATCCTGACCGGGTCATTTGTGACCCACTAATGCATCTAAGGCTTAAAGTTGTTCTATGTTAAGCCAATGTGACTGCAGCGAGCTGGCCACAGCAACTGTCTGAGCTTGTTTTCTATCTGTATATAGTTGGACTTGTGATTAACTTCTGTTAATCACAAGTCCAATCTGTGTTCGAAGCTAGCTAGCTAGATGCAACACTAAAGCAGCACTGGCTGCAAAAAGTGGCAGAAAAGCAGGATAAATATAAAATACCTACGCTTTCACCATATTAGTAATGGCAACCATACTCCGCACGATCCTAAGATATCGCAATAGCAACTATGTTTTTCCAGACGTTTGGTACGGCCTGTACATGCAGCCAGAGCCAAAAAAAAAAAACGTTCCCAACTGACAGTCTGGCTGACTGTCTTAACAGCAGCTTACCTATAGGTAGCAGATCTAAAGCGCTGTGAAGAGCGTCAGAGTCGAGCCGTACTGATGTGGAGCTGCACGCATATTTACTGGAGAGCTCGTTTATCTGTCACTTTTAAACGAAAAGCTGCCTATTCCCGTTCAGCCCTGTGCAAACTGCTAAGAACCCACTAGTGGAAGTCACTCGCACGTGAACGGGGTTTTGTAATCACGTGATAGTTCCTGGCCACTTGATTGGATGCAGAGCTACAGAGCCGTTGAAAAGAAGCCGCGGTCAAGTGACCAAGGTAACGATTTTTTTTTCAGCCGTGAACTCTAAAAAATGAAAGGTATTTCACTGCTTTAGGTATTTATTTATTTTAAATTTATTATAAAACATTTTTTATTTTAATTTTAAATTGTAATATTTATTTATTTAAATAATTAGTAAAACTTTTTTTTAATAAAAAATGCTTTTTTAAATGTTTTAATATTTTCAATTGATTTCCTCGTTTTAGTTTTTTTATTGGTTGGTTTTGTTTTTGTTCTGTTTTTGTTATCTCAAGTGTCACTTTTGATCTTTTTAAATTATTATTATAAAACCCTAAAATCAGGGTCAATATATAAGAATCTTAAAGTAAGTATAATAATACAAAGGCAACAGTTTGTGAAGGTGTCCTGTCTCACATGCTCAAATACAAAGGGAGGATTTGAATGCCAAATGTGACCAAAGTGAAAAAGACTTTATTTTATCTTAGTCTTGTAACTAGATTATATTATTGTTTGGGTTTCATTTGTCCCCCAGAAATTTAACTGTTCAACAGTCCTGGGTCTTCTTTGTCATATTTTTAGTTTCATGATATTCCAGATGTTTCTACTGGTCAAAGGTTTGGACTGCAGACAGGCCAGCAGCATGCCCTCTTCTAGTAAATACTACCAACTTTAATGTAATATTTATATGAAATGCTAAACAAAGAACATAAAAGTAAGATAAAGCACAACAGATACAGAAACAAGAATACAAATAATTAGACTGAAATTTGCCTGTTAATGAAGTGTGCCAATGCACCCATGTTCCACCTCTTATAGACCAATTTGTCATTCTTTAGTTTAACTTATGGCAAAACCAGTATTTTAAATTATTTTCATTGCTTAGTTTCCTTTGGTCACCTTAAAGAAAAAAATGAGGCAGATGTTGTCAATAAATTTAATATTATAATGAAAAATTAAACATTCAACTTATTCAATTATAAACTGCAGAACTAACTTTGATGTAAATTGTTTCTGTATTTGAAGTACTATTAAAGGAATTATACAAATGTTTGACTGAAGTGGCGGGTTTAATTATCTACAATTTATCAAATGTAAACGAAGCACTTTTTACAAGCTCAAGATGTCTTAAAAAAAATTAACAAACAAGAGAATCTATTACAAAGAATGAGACAAAACACTCTTGGGGGAGATCTTTCTTCATTTTTCAAATTATATTTTGAGGCCAACAATTTACTTTCACAAAAATAATTAATAAAAAGAAAAAAAGAAAATGAAATGTCTCTATAAGGTAGAAAGAGTTCCATGCCCTCAAGTTTGGTGGGCAGAGGCTTTGCATAAGTAGCAAAAAAGAAATACCAACACAAATGAAAAATAACAGGTTCAAGTAAAAAGTTTAGTCATAACAAAGTTACACCATAGTCTGGTGTACTCTTGGACATTAAGACGGTTGTTGAGTTTAATTTTTGGTCAGAGGAATCAAACTGAGCCTATGGGACCAGTTCCTCTAATGACTTCTCCACAAATAAAAAGTGCTCAGTAAGACTCAAAAAACTACTTAGAAATATAAGTTGGCACTGAAATGTGCAAGAAATGGAAAATTTGAAATTCTTGATGGTAAACCTGCAGGATCGGGCATGACATCTTCAGTGGATCCTTATAAACATTGAGAGTTTAACACACCAAGCCCGTTGACATGTATTAATTGACTTTTTTATCACTGGTGGTATCACTTGCTGCTGTGTCATAATGGCACTTCTCCACACATCGTCTTGGAAACCATCCTCTTACACGGTCTCCAGCTTAATGCCAAACAAAAAAAAATAGAAAGTTACACATTTGTTACAGTGACTTTACACGACACTTTGTTACAGTGGTTTTGAAAATTCAACGGGACAATAATTCCTTACCTCTCAGTTGCTCCTCACTTAAAACTTTATCTCCATACATCCACCATCTAAAGGAAAAAATTACAGTTTAAAAAAAAATGACTCATCAAATACCTATAAAGCTTATTAGCCTGTGGGGCCAGGTTCACCCCTTAAAGGCTGCACTAAGGTATGTGGTGTACCATGAATCAGCAGCTGGAGGTGAGGCATTTACAGGTCAAACACTGGTGTTGTTTGACTACAGTGTTAATCCCAGTTTTTCCATAATGCACTCGGAAAACCAAGGTGGGAAGTAGAATGAAATTAGCAACTGGCTATCTGGCTGACTGCTAGGATCTGCTTGGGACGAGTGACCGTAAATGATGTGGCCTACTTATGACCAAGCTGTGGAATCTGTCACTCAGACCCAAGTGGACCCCTAGACTCATGAAGTGGAAACTATGACATGCTAATTAGACTGCTGGTTGACCACACTCAAAATCAAACACCAAACAGGAAACAGTAGTTCTGTGCAGACAAACTTACTTGGTACCACGAGTAGCCAGAATGGTATCCCCCTTGCAGAGAGGGATCCTGGGTTCCTCGGTGCAGGGGGTTCTAAAAAAAGTTTGTAAACCCTTGCTGAGAGGGCAGCAAGCTCCATTATAATCCTCTACTGCCCGGTACTGGACCTGCTGGTCAAGGCAAATATGATACATGGTTATTCTACTGCTCTGAACATCAGTTAAAAGTTACTTATAGAACTTGTAGAAAGTCTTTAATCTTAGTGCTTTGACAAATCTCACAGTACTGATTATAAGATCTACACTATATGAAAGGTATCTGTTAATTTCATTCTCTATGGTGTATTGGATTGTTACAAGCTAAGATGTAGCTCATCAATTTCCTGACATGATTATAAATATGATCCTCAGTGTTTATTTAGTATCAGTCCCTAGTACTTCAGCATGAAAATACACTCTTCTTGACCTGTATGTTTTGCTTGTTTCACACACTGCATAAGCCAAATTCATGCAATGCATAAATAAACCCCTGACAACACTTAACAGTTATGTGCATTGAAAACTACAGTCTTATCACAAGTATTTATTCTTTAACTTGGTTACTTACACTTCTCACTCGTTTATCAGCTTTCTGTTTCAGTTGCTCAATCTGTGTAAGGAGAAATAACAGGTACAAATTTTATTTATAAACTGAACTTTTATAAGAAATGTCTAATTAGTCATCACTGAATCTATGGAGTTAAACAAAAACATGTTTTTTTCTAATTTTAAGACAGAACAGTAACAAACAAAACACAATCAGTAATGTCTACATTACTCAACTCAACCTACAGTTAAGGTGTGCTGGTGACACTTGGGATGGACTGGCCATACAATGCCATCGCCTCTGGGTGTCCCCGACCACGTGAAGACTTGTTTAAAATTCAGCCAGCGGCTGCCGAGGTCGTACGGGAAGATAAACTCTTCCCCTGTTTGGTAGTGCTGTATTCTGTCTTTGGCCTATTAAAAGAAAGACAAGCAAACCAAGAAAACACATTTTCTAGTACTGTCAGAGGGTACTATAACATGTGTGTCTCAGTCATTTTTAAATATGAAGTACTGCAATGATATGATATGGTACTGAGTGAATATAAAAATCACATCCCAGATTACCGTTTGTGAATCAAGAGAAAAAGACACTGATATCTCAAAATGTTATCAGGAATCAAAGTCACGGGAAATCAAGCAGAGACATTCTGACCTTTTCCTCTATCCACGACTCGATTGAAGTCTTATTTCGAAGGATGACTTTCATCTGAAAAGGACACACACTCATTATCAGAGTCAGCAATCTCTCGGCCTATATTTCCTTAAATAAACTGCTTTGTTATTGGAGTATTGAATGGAGCAAACCAAGAAAACACATTTTGCATGAGAGGAAATAACATGCACTTAAGGGATGTTTTCTTCTGAAATAGTAGTTTGGTGTGCTGCCAATAGCTCAGTAATTTTGCAGCTGTAATGCCCCGTTCCTGAACCAATTTCTTTGGTCACAAGTCAGTGTTTTTCCATCGCAAAGAATTTTTTTGCCACTCCCCAAAACCTTTTTAGTCAGCAACCAAAGGAGAAGCTCTCCTCTCATTCACTGCCACACTATTTTGTACAGGTGAACCGTTTTGACTGTGTTTAATAAATAAATTTAATAATAAATGTAAATACCTGTTACACTTTCGACAGTGTTACACTACACATGTCCAAGCTTTAAACTTATAAAATTGGTTTCACTCTTTCTTGCTTAAGAAAATTCAGTTACCATTTATTTATTACAGCTATGCAGTTTATCTTTTTTATGCTATGCACTGTCTTTATTTGTCCCTTTATGTTATGTTAACAATTTTTGTTACATTATTTGCAAATAAATAGGTAGGAGTATGGATCCATGCATTTGCAGAATTCTAACACAGTTTTATTTCTGATATGCCTACATACGCCACAATACGCTCTCTGGTCAGATCTTCACCAGATGGTTTCCACACTGCTCTTGTCTTGAAGTGAAAACATGGCTTGCAAGATGTAATGTGGCTTTGTAGGATAATGAGTAAAATAATCAGACAAATGTATGTCTTTCTCTTTTTTTTTTTTAACCAAAAGCTTGTTAAGTTTGCAAAACTTAGGAAAAACTCACCTGTATAACGAAAAGCATACCAACGGCAATAGTGGTGCCAAGTGCCAAACCTAAGGCAAAGAGTGTAGCAGCAAAGGCAGGCACACTGAAGGGCATGAGGGGCTGAAATTGACGCACAGCACTCATGTCAATCCTTACAGTACTCCAGCCGAATGATATCTGCAGTGAAGAAAGAGGAAACAGCTTTATTAGCCTGGTGGGGGTTCGGCCTAGAACTGTGATAACAGGACATCAAAAGCATGGTGGGGCCAGCGCAGGTGACAGCTCACCCTCTCATACAGCTGTGTGTACATAGTCATAATGAAGATAACGGCAGCGTGTGAGCAACCCAGTGGAGCCAGGAGCAGGAAGCTGGTGAAGTAGGCGTGATTCAAGTGGCCACAGCAGTTGTTGATCCAGGGGCAGTGGTGGTCCATTTTCATCACGCACCTGAAGGAATGGAGATGAGGAGGAGTAACAGGACATAAGAGTAATAATCTGCGGTCAAAGCTCATTTTTCAATCATCATACAACTGCAAAAACAGACATTTCACATCAATAGACAATCACTAATGATGTGCTCTAAGGTATGGAGCACTCTAATGGAGTGATACTTGCATGAGAGGAAATAACATGCACTTAAGGGATGTTTTCTTCTGAAATAGTAGTTTGGTGTGCTGCCAACAGCTCAGTAATTTTGCAGCTGTAATGCCCCGTTCCTGAACCAATTTCTTTGGTCACAAGTCAGTGTTTTTCCATCGCAAAGAATTTTTTTGCCACTCCCCAAAACCTTTTTAGTCAGCAACCAAAGGAGAAGCTCTCCTCTCATTCACTGCCACACTATTTTGTACAGGTGAACCGTTTTGACTGTGTTTAATAAATAAATTTAATAATAAATGTAAATACCTGTTACACTTTCGACAGTGGTGGGACCTGGGAGCCTTGTAGCCTTGACACCCTCTGCAGAACTGTAGGTACTGGGTATCCTGCTGATTTTCCTGTTTCACCATAGACACGTGTCAGATAATATATGGATTTATAACATTTAAATAAGTTCATGCTTGCTAATGTTTGTGTGCTAAAAAATTATATGAACTTATCCTTACTGGTTTCCAGCCAAGAGGAATGTATCCAGGTCCAACAAACATAGCATTGAAGTAGTTGTAAAGTATGAGGACAGTCCAGTTGATGAGCATGATGAAGTTAATGCTCCCCCCTGTAGTGTCTAGAGGCCAGTACCAGATAATGGAGTCTAGAATTGCCATTGTGGAGCATATAGCAATGACAGACAAGGCTATGATTGGACCCCAGTGGCACAATCTCCGAACCTCATGGAGGTTCTTAAAGGTCACAAAGGTTGACAGGAAGTTCATTTTTTCAGAGCTAGTTTAATTCTAGTATTTTGGCTGCTGGACTCCAGAAATTTCAAATGTCGATGTATTAGTGTTTTGCTCTGCTATCTCCCAAAGTCACGGGTAGAGGTGATACACATATTTTTTCTCGTCCTCTGAGTATCCAGGAACAGGCCCAGTCTTGAACTACTGACGCGTTCTGTGTCCCACGATTTCTTGTCCTGGCAGAGAGCAGCATCCTCTCTTGTCAATCCCTGAAGCACACGGTCTTTGTGATGGACTCAAGTTTCCCATCTGAAAGAGAGGGGGAAAGCAGTTTTAAATCATAAGCAGTGAAATTAATTAGTGACAGAGCCAGGAGTCACATCAAGCTAATGTTTTTTCAGTAGTTACATGTGTCACCTGTCCCAATATTTCTGTTATGGTAACAAACAACAGCTGATAACTAGGGACCTTTTTATTTGGGATCTATACATACTCAGTTAGATGACCTTTCTGAAATAATTAAAGAATTTTCAGAAGCTTATTAAGTCTGTTTAATTGGGATTGTTTTGCAAAAGTATTGTGAAAAAGTATTTGACTGATTTCTTAGTTGGTTTTTTTTTTGCATCTTTATCACACGTGCATTTTCATTGTCTAATATTATATTTTGTTTTAAAAATTAAAAAAATGCCATCTTTAAAACAAACTGTCTAGAAATAGTTGCCTACCTTGTTAAATCATGAATTTTTTTTTCTTTTAACTGAGTTCATTTTCACCAACCTGATTACTGCCAGACCTGTTGAATCAAGAAATCATTTCAATAGAGACTATCTGACAAAAATTAACGTAGTCTAAAAGATGTCAAAAATATCAACATATCATGGCACAATAAAAAGAAACAAGTGAGAAACAAAGTCATAGCCATCTATCAGTCTGGAAAGGGTTACAGAGCTCATCTAAGGCTTTGGGACTCCAGTGAACCATTATCCACAAATGGAGAAAACTTAAGAGCAGTGGTGAACCTCCTAGTCTCCGGCCTACCAAAACACTCCAACATCAGTGTTCATTATTCAACAATAAGACAGGGATCAGGGAAAAAATCCATGGGAGCGTTCCTAGTCGAAACTGCTCAAAAAGAACACAAAGCCTCATCTCATATTTGACAAAAACCATCTTGAAGATCCAAAAGACTTATGGGAAAATTTTTCTGGGGACTGAGAAGACATAAGTCTAATTTTTTGGAAGGTTTTGTCCTGTTACAGGTGGCATAAAACTAGCACAGCATTTCATAAAAAGAACATTATAGAAACAGCTAAACATGGTAGTGGTCCTGCTGCTTCAGGACCAGAATGACTTACTGATGGAACCATGAATTTTAATATCTGAAAGAAATTCCTAGTAGAATGTCCAACCTTCAGTTTGAGTCCTGAAGCTCAAGCCCACCTAGGTTATGCAGCAGGACAATGACATGAGAAACACCTGCAAGTCTACCGCTGAATGGTTAAAAATAAACCAAAATAACATTTTTGGAGTTGCCAAGTCAAATTCTGGACTTTAATCCGATTGAGATGCTTTGGCATGATCTTAAACATGCTCAAAAAACCTTCAATTTGGCTGAATCAAAACAATTATGCAAAAAAAGAGTGGACGGAAATTGCTCCACATCAACGTGAAAGACGGATTGACAGCTATAACAAATGCTTGACTACAGTTCTTGCTGTCAAGGTTGACACAACCACTTATTAGTTTTAGAGGGCAATTACCTTTTCATACAGGGCTACGTAATAATAATTCATTAATAAATGAAATTATCCTTTAAAAACTGCATTTTGCATTTACTCGTGTTATCTTTGTCTAATGTTAAAATTTGTTTGATTATCTGAAACATGTAAATGTGACAAATGTGCAAAATACTTTTTCACAACACAATTTATGTCATACTGCTAATGAAAAAGATGTTATTCGTGCTTTAAAAAAACAGAAACAACTCCTCGGTAGTTGCAATAAAAATACTGAACAATCATGACTAACATTTTTAGCTAATGACTTAAAAGCACGTACAGAAACGGCAATAAAACATACCACACTAATGTAGACAGTGCTGGATTTGTATTAATATTAAATTACCAAACTAAAAGCAGAACCACAGCATTTGCTTCATTGACTAATTAGCTTGTGTTACCAAGCTAGCTAATTCTCGCCAGAAAAAAAAAAGATTAATAATTACGATTTATATGCAAGTCTTCTATCCATCACTGCACAGTAATGGACAGAAAACTATGCGTTAGACAACTCCGCTTTAAAAAAAATCAACAGACAGGTGATAAGTTTATGCCTTTAGCTCTAAAATTGTGTTTCCGTTAGCACCGTGGGTTCAGCAGTTATCGTTAGATAGCTAGCCTAGTCACCAACATAAACACTAATAACGTAGCACGCTGAACACTTACCACGAGGGGCAAACAGAAAACAAAGATAACCTAAATGACAAATGCTTTGTTTTTAATAAATAGAAACAAAAGGCTGTCACTTTAAATCACCAACCTGGTCACTTCCTTATTTTTTTCATAAAATTTTCCTGTGTACAGTGAGGAACCTTCCTCATGGTGTCTCAGAAACTAATACCCTCCACCACTTGTAGATACCTTTTAATCCAAGTAGCAGTCTATCACCGAAACGGCACAGAACTACAAGAGTTATTCATGTATTCAAATTCGGGCTGAAATTATTAGCATTTTCTGTCCATCTTTCGAACCTTTTTCAGTGTCGAAAACGTGAAAACAAAGTCAAGTTCCTTACCGAGCACATTATACTGTGACTCAAGGAAGAAGCTCCATTCGAGGCTTGTTGTTATTCTGAGCTAACTGTCAACCAGAAAGCTAGTTACCTGTTGTAAACTCGACTACCAGAATGTCTTCAGACTTTGAAGCATACGAGCAGGACTTTGGAACAATTACCGCAGAAATAACTAATAAAATTGGCCGAATTCCCAAACTAAGTGGAGGTAAGAGTTTCATTTATAAGCTGTTAAAGCTCATCTGGCTTGCTAGCTCCAGTCTCAGCTGACAAGGCAGCTAACGGTAGCGATAATGTGATTTCATCCAAATATTGGTCAAACTAGTGGTGAAACACAGCTATATAAAAATAGTTTTTGTTATATAAAAAGAATGTGACATGTATTTGTGGCCGTCTTCTTATCTTGGTATGTCTTTGATAGGTTTAGCCGGTGTGAAAATAGTGTTAAAGAACATCCTAACTCTGTTTATGGTGTTCAGAAGAGGATAGAAGCTTCAAATCACTTTAATGAGTAGGTTAATATTAATTGAAACTATTCAACTGAAGTAATATTTTAGTGTTATCATAGTGATTTAGTGTATGACATTCTTGCCAATACTTACCATAAAGAAAAACCTATGGATGTTTTTGTGGACAATCATCGTTGGAAAAGTTAAGTTTTGGAATGGCACTGATATCACTGCAACTTTCAATGACACTTTTGGGGAGTGTTGTTTTTAGTTTTACTGTGGATTTCAGTTTTAGCCAGTTTAAAGATAATTCAGCCTTTTGATACCAGCAAGTTTGAAAGCATACGTTTCTTAATATGTTAGCAAGGGCCTAGTAACTAATATGATGGACTAATAACTTTATCCTGGTATTGACTTAAATATTTAAAAGCGTGTCTTTGGTTGACTATTTATTTAGCTCTTTACATTCCATTCACTTTTATTTATATAGCGTTAAATCACAACAGCAGTCACTGAAGGTACTTGGATTAGAGCAATGTAACCTTCAGTGGACGGCTTTTCCAGCAAAAGGTTAGCAGTTTCAGAAATTTTCTCATTGATCTTCAGAACACAGTCCTGGATGCAGCTGTAGATGGTGTACTCTGGTTCATCCGTGCATGCTGTCCAGCACAAAGGACAGTGTATCAGCGGTGAGGTCCACAGTAGAAGTTACAGAGGGGTTTGAGGTGGGATTACATCAAGCATCAGGCCTGAGTTCCTTCTTGTTTGCAGTGATAATGGACAGGTTGATAGATGAGGTCATCGAGGAGTCTCTGTGGACTTTCATGTTCGCAGATTACATTTTGATCTGCAGTTATAGTAGGGAGCAGGTTTAAGAGGTCCTGGAGGTAAGTTGAGGTATGGACTAGAAAGAATAGGAGTGAAAGTCAATAGACAAGACAGAATACATGTGTGTGAATAAGAGGGAGACAGATGTAACAGTTAAGATGGATGAGTTTAAATAAAAGTAATGCACAGTGCACAAGAAAAGTTAAGAAAGGAGTACAGGAGAGGTGGAATAGTGTCAGAGTTTATTTGTGACAGACGGACAACAGCAAAAGTAAAAGGAAAGTTTTTTCGAGACGGTATTGAGACCTGCTATGATGTATGATTTGGAGACAGATCATTAATAAAACCACACAAGACAGAAAGTTGTTAAGATGTTTTTGGGAAGTGGCCAGAATGGATTAGATTAGAACTGAGTACATCAGAGTTTCAGCTCGGATTGAGCAGTTTGCCTACAAAGGTGGAGAGAAAAGGCTGAGATGGTTTGGAACTGTGGAGAGCAGGGATAGTGAATGTATTGGACAAAAGGAGGAAAAGAGGAAGACCACAGAAAAGATTCATGCATGTAGTGAAGGAGCACATGATAGGATGAGGTGGAAGCAGATGGTCTGCTGTGACAACCCTTAAAGCGAGCAGCTGTAAGAAGAAGACATTGCTGGTTTCATCAGTTTGTTAAAGTGATAGCATTCTGTCATTCTATCAGACTTAATTCAGACATAACCAAAGCCACATGTAACACTTTTTGAATGATATATTTAGAATAGATTGTTATTAAATTGTAGCTCTTCAAGTGTGACTTTGTTGATTTTCTAAAATGAAAACACAGGTATCAGCTGGTAGCTTCTGGTCTAGTCTTCTTAGAGTTGTTTTGCCTCTTCATTTGTATGACCCGCAACTCCTTCACTTTTGAAACACTCATTGATAGATTCTGATGCTGTAGGAGTACAAATCTGACTCTGTCTTCATAAACTTTATCACAAAATTTTATTTAAAGATTTTATTCTGTGATATAATTAGAACTGAAAGCTCAACATACATGTGGTCCATGTGTGCTTCCAGCAATTAATGCCATGTTCACACCACTGATAAGAAGCTACAAACTGACGCCTGACACTTGTTGATGCTTTATGTGCATCAAATCAAAGTTGAGCTGACATCCATTTTTTTTCTTCAACCTATCATATGCTTGATGCAATTAAACACTTGAGCGACACTTCCGTAGCAAACCAGTGACAGTGTCGCTTGTGATGTCTGTCTGTCTTTGTAACTTTGTCTGGTTGTGAGAATTTAACATTAAGGCATGCAAATTGTGTCTTCTAAGCTCTCTTTGATGTTTAAGGAGGATTATTATTCTGTTGAAATGTGGAAAGAGCATTATGTTCTAATTTTGTTTTGTACAATAGGAAGCCTCTTTAACATGTCTGACCACAATTTTGATAAAGGTGTAGCTTTGAAACTTTCTTGAGATAACTTTGGGCAGCTGGAGAACACCTTATCACTGTATAGGATATTCTCCTATATAGTCATGTCTTATTGAGCTGGGGAACTTAAGATGCTGGAGAGACATCTGCATAGTGGTAATCTTTTTATAGTTGGTTAGTTTTTTGTAAATTTTACTTGTTCAGACCTATTAAGACTGCTGTTTGTGGAACGACTTTGGGTATTTCTCCCCTCTTCTGCTCTGCATGTATCAGTTTTGGAGGAGAAGCAGAAGAGACATACACATGCTTGCATACACAGTGAAACAGACAGCACTTTTGAACTGAGCTAAAATAAAAAGTGTGCACAAATATTGATAGTATCAATAGCAATTCTGGTATTGATACTCAGAGCGATACTTTTTAAAAAAAAAAATCCCCTTAAGTTCAGTATGTAGCCCTCTGAATTGTATTAAATTAATTAAATTTAATAATTTTTTTGGAAATGGAAAAAATATACCTCAAACATACACTATGAAAAATGTCAAACAACAGAAGTTGACATGACCTTTAGAGACGGGCACATTTACATTCTAGGTCTCAAAAAAACTCAGTTTGAAAAAAACATGAAAAGGTGTATTTTGTTTTGTTAACCAGTTATTAATGAAAGTAAAAATCAGAGTGTGTTAATAGTCACTATTTGCAAAATTGATGATGAGCCATCTTTTAAGTCGTGAGTGACTGCTCTCCCCAGCATAAGCTGCCTATGTAGGTTTAAAGTATCAGTACTGGCAATTTTGGCCCTGTATTTACTTGGTATCAGATCAATACTAAAATCTGCAATATCGCACCGCACTACTTGACTACATTTTCAGATAGCAATGTGTTGTTAATGTTAGATAGACCTCTTTTCTCATCACCAGTTCTCATACTTGGTTCTGTAGGTTTCAGACATATGAAATCCTGACTGTCTGAGCCTGTTTTTGATACTGTAATTTATATTCTGCAGGATGTAGGCACGAATGCATGGCTTTGACTTTTTTCTTTGAAAGGAGTCTTTAAAATGTATTTATGTTTACATTTCTGTACTGTGAAGCCCTGCACTAAAAGAGGGTTTAGAGGTGGGTTAAAACCTACAGATGTTGTTAACCACCTGGCTCTGGGTCTTCCCATCTTGTTTTTCCTACATGTAGATTTACCAGATTGCTGCATTAGTGTTTTGGTGGCAGGCAGGCAGCTGAAAGACGGGCAGCTTGTGGATTTAGCTAAGCCTGGAAGGGAAACATGAGTTTGGATGACATGGAAAAGGCCAGAGCTAGTTGGCCAGTTGTGATTTAACTTTAAAATGTAATACTTTTACTTAACATACCCATAAATGAATGTAGACATATCAATGGGTAATACTTTCCTATTTAAAATGACTTAATACAAAGAATAGATAATAGAATGCATAATAGAAAGTTGAGCTTCAGTTGCTCCCTTATTTCACAAGGGATCACCACAGTAAATAGCTCCACTATTGACATTGCAGATTTTTTTAAAACCCCAGATTCCCTTCCTGATGGAACCCCACAGGGATTTATGTCTCCTCCTGGGATCGAACCGTATCGTTTGCTTGTTAGGCAGATGTATAAACAGCTACACTGTCATCTGACACCACTCAATACCAATCACAGTTATAAGCTGAGACAAAATAGTCATTGAGTTTGTATTTGTTTTCTCAGTGCAAGAGCCTTTCTGCACAGCACCTTCTTCCATTTTTACGGTCACTTTTCAAAATTAAATGGTATTTTGCAGTGTGAAATACACTGGGTGTTTTTAGTTTACAGCTACACTAAGCCAAAATGGTGGGAAATATATATCTAAAGGTGGATATGACAATTAATTTAAGGCTGAACTACTACATATTAAAATTTTGGTGTCCACACCTAACTGAGTAGGAGCAACCGTTATTACTACTTACTTACAGTGAGTGTTAACTAGTAGTTTGTTTTAAGTTTTCAGATTTTATATGTGGAAGCTTTATCTCTTCCTCTCGGCTCACACTTGCTCATTGGGTTTTCAAAGGCGCTGCTCTCACAAAACCTCGCTTGACTGAATATTTCTGGTTTGGAATTGGCATGTCTGAAGACTCATGGCAGCCCATTCCGCAGAGTAATTTCTCATTGCTTCCTCTCACCATCTGTTGACTGTGTCAGAGGAAGCCTGTATGAATATGTACAAAGCTAGAAAATGCATTACAACCATAAGTAGTTGTTGTGTGTTTTCTGACACCAATGGAATAGTTTACAGGTGAATTTCAATTCCCTTCCTACTCATTAAGTTTTTCTTAAGTTCTTTTGGCTCTTCTTACCCAAGTGGATGCATTTTGCCCATGATATCCCCTCTGTTTAATATTTTAAAAAGGAACCATAACATTGTTCTTGTAGTTTATTACTTTTACTTGGCATGTTATGTTGTTGATAATGGCCATGGCATGTGGAAAACATGACCTAGATGCTCACAAACAATTAATTTTTGTATATTATTTATTTGCAACATTGCTCCAAAACTCAACATCAAGAAGAAATTTGAATAAGAATACTATGAACAGAACAAGACTCAACATCCTTGTTCTATTAAACATGGCTCCAAGTTTTCACTTTTGAATGTTCATGGCAAGAGATTATTTGTCAATCACTGGCATTGAAATATGAAACATAAAAAGTAAAAGAAAAATACCAAGCCCTTTGTTTTCTTCATTTTTGCCTTACTTCTGTCTACAAAACTCCTCATCCGTCTGTCAGCAGGTTCTAGTCTTGGTAAATAGCCATACATATTTCACAGCCCTCTAGCTCGGGCCTGAGCCTGAGTACGAAAGCGTCATCTCATCTTTCACTGAATTGCCTCTGGCTGTTTACTATAGAGGTTGTAAGGTTGGACACAGGTTTTAAAAATGAATTTAAGGGCCATGTTGGCCTATGGCACCCGAGAAACGAAGATCTTGGCTTAGCTTTTTTTTTTTTATTGCAGTCCCACAGCTGGGTATTCTTGTGATTTACTTTTGTTTGTATTTTACCTAGAATGCTTTTCATACTTTGCTTTTAAACCTTTATTAGAATACATCTGTTGGGGTTTCAAAAGCAAATAACATTTTCAGAATTTCTTAATTACTGTAAAAAATGTAAGATTGGTTCGACTTTGTAGGCATCACCTCTTAACATTTACCATCTGTACTCAATACGGAGCTGGTGTTTAAGATGCTGCACTTTTTGTAATGATACATTTTATCTGTGAATTTATAATTATGTCACTTTTTGTTTTCTGGGAGTTAAAAAAAAATGTAATAATTAACAGAATTTTTATTGTCAGTATATCAGGTCCACAGGTGTCCTCTTAAACTGTTAAACCAAATATACTACAAGATCAGCACTTTGACTGACTGTTGTGATATGCTGATGCACTGATAACATTAACACAACTTTGTGTTACAAATGTACTCTAAACTATTTAAAATTTAGTATGATATATCTCACACCATGGTTAGCAAAAGATTTCCACAACACCTCAAGTCTGGGATGGTTCTAACATTAGTTTGGCTTCGCTTTTGCATTACATTGATCGCTTTGTCTTTTTCCTCGAACTGTTGTGTGGTGGGTGCATTGTTCCACTTAAGGGAGGCTGCTGGTGCTGGGGAGTGCTGTTACCACAGGGGTGTGCAACAATGACATATGGTGGATGTGTGATAAAGTAACATGCACATAAATCTCTTAAACCAAAGTTTCTAAAGTAAAGGCTGCATGTTAAGATGACATTAAATGTTATTTTCTTTACCCTCTTTTATATTTTTTATGTTATTAATGGTATTTATGCATAAGAGAATTTCCTATATTTCCTAACTTCATTTTTTTGTTTTCTTTATTATTATTAAACTATATGTGTAAGTTGCTTATACTTTATGTCAAAGCCCTGGGCAATGGTCTTTTCTTTTTTTTTTTTCTTGTTTTAAGTTAACATAAATATGCTTGATTAGTAAACACCATACCGCATACCATGAACTAACAAAATCTTTGGCCAGGATCTAATTTCAGGACAAAGACTAGTTCATGTAGATGTAGGGAAAGTGATAATGCCGTTGCCTTAAATAACTGTTGGAAGCGCTGTAGTTTGCACGCTGCTCTGGAACTCTTAAGTCCTAATGAGTTTCAATGGGTAATGTGGTAGAGCAGCCATGGGGTGAGGTGTAGAACAGTGCGTTAGTCATTCTGAGTGGGACTCATACTTCTGGCAAGTGAGCAAAGCTGACACCTCCCTTCCCTTTGAGTTGGCATGAGGTGTCTCGCTGCTCCTCAACAGAAACCAACAAAGGCCTCATAGACGCCAATAACTAAGAGACATCAAATGTTGGCTCGTCGTGTGGAGAGAATGTGTAAATATATCTTCAAATGTGTCCTCGTGTGTTGTTTTCTCCCAGTCTCTTTCTTTCTCTCTCCCCCTCTCTTCCCCCGTTGCGGGGGAGTTAGGCTGTTGTCATGAAGCGCTGTTCCTCCGTCGGCTGATCAATATGTTGCTGGGTTTTTTTTCTCTTTCAGAGGAGAAGACACAGCTGGTTCTAAATGTCGACAAACAGCTTGAAGAAGTCAGAGAGTTGGTATGTCTTTGATCAGTAATTTTCTCCTCTTCCCATTTCCTAAATAATGAATTTGTGGAAAGAGGGAGGGGACAATTTTCACTGGCACCAGACAACAGCACCTGTATTATCCTGGTGGTGACATGACATGTAGACATAACACACATGCACACATACTTCACATGGCGGAAAGGAGGCTTCCTCCTCATATGATTACTTTCCCATAATCTGCTTTTAAGTGACACCCCTATGACACATTTCAAGCCATTATCTTGGGTGGGTGTCTTCATGTTGCTGTTTAAACATGAGCAAAGTCACCTGACAGAAACAAATTGTTGTTGCGGTTGTCTTGTTATGCCATAGTGATGAGTTTCCTCCAAATCTGCCACAGAGAGACCTGTCTACCCATGCATCAGATGTACTTTTGCTTCATTCACTCAGACATTGTTGGGCCCATGCGTGTCATGGCAATGAAGAAGCCCTCGTATTTGATTGTGTACTTACAGAACATACTTCCTCTGTTGTAACTTTTATCACAACTGAGTGACACCAGCAGAAGGCGTTTGATTTTACAATCGGCACTGGAGGATATTAAAGTTAATGCTGCTGAAGTTGAATCTGTTCAAAAGTGTTCAAAGGGAGCACACAACTGTAAAACTTGCCCTTAAAATTTTTTTCAGAAAGCTTGTGCAGGAAATATGATCATAAAAAAAACTAAACTTTTAAATGTAAAAATGTGCATATACAGTCTATTTTGTACTTTTTAATATTTTAATGTAAATCTGTATTATAATGAGCTCTAAATCTGTCACTCTGGCAGTGTTTTATATTCCAAGTATTTCTTTCGATTTTGAAATGACTCTTAAAATTTCTGTTAGGAATGTTTGACTTTAAATGAATTGGATGAATTGTGGGTTTTAGCTGGAGCAGATGGACCTGGAGGTGCGAGAGATCCCCATCCAAAGCAGAGCCATGTACAACAGCAGGCTGAAGAGCTATAAACAGGAGATGGAAAAGCTTGAGAAAGACTTTGTAAGTATTTCAATATGTCATGAAATGTTTTTTTTTAATTCTCATGCAAACGCAACAGTTGTAATAGTTGTAATGTTCTTACTGAGAGTGTAAATGATGCTCCATAATAAATAAGCGTCTATAAACTACTCATCATAAGACAAACACCCCAGCTTTTTTAAACTCAGAAATTAAATTATAAAATAAATGCATATTCAAAGAAATATCATTTGGAAAATTGGTTTGGAACCAGTCACTGCTGACACACACGTGTTGAATTTGTGGGTTACTTTTCTTCCACTCAGACGAGCTGGATGAAGTCCAGAGACTGTGATGGTTTTCCATCTTTTCAAGGCCACCGTGCGTGCAGTTCTGTTGTTCCAGTGTTTTGTGTCATTATCTTACCAAAAAGATGAACCCTTGACCAATCGATCTGCCTTCGTTTTTTTTGTTTTGTTTAGTTTTTTTGTCACATGTCCAATAGCGAAATACAGTACCGTTTTGTGCATGACCATATTCTGCTAATAATTCTTCAGAGGATGTAGTAACACTTTGTTCCATCACCGCCTTTGTTCAGACACATCGTTTTTGTAAGTAATCAGCAGAATTTGTGGCACGTGCATAAATCCCTTTCATGACATTTCAAGGCTTCACATACTTCCATCGCTCTGCAATAGCTGTAAATTAACCAAATAATTAAACATTAATCCTCGAAAAACACTTCTTTTCTCATGAAATTTGCATCATTATTTATTTATCTTTACTGTTAGAAAAACACCAAAAACTGCGGACTGTTTGCGTGTAACTCTCACTCTCGCAGTAATTCCTGCACTCACAAACAGACTTGCACTGAAGCTCAGCGGTGCATCCACAGAGGTTAATTCGGAGTTCATATCTGAACTTTCAAGCAATGCCTATCGAGAATGGGTTGTGTGTGTTTGTGTTGTTGCTGCAGAATCTGGCCTTGTTTAGTAATTCATAAATCACTGTATGTCTTGGCTTGATTTATCAAAGCTTAATGAACAGTCTGGTCTTTTGGGTCACTTGCTTTTAGTCTACATTTTGAGCTACCAATATTGCCCAAGGTACTTCACGTAATCAATAATACTCAGAAATACGCAATTATCCAGTGCAATTGAATCCAAAACTTTTTTAACCTCTTATTTTAATTATTATATCTTTAAATTGATCCTTGTGAAAGCATTTTAAATTGATTGTTGGCATTATAATGTTAAGAAAAATCGTAGTGGTAACGTATCTTTAACTATATCTTTTTTTCTGTGGTTGTTGTTGTTTTCTGTTGTCAGTTTTGTTTTGCTGGTGCTCATAACATGATAATAAACCCGTAGTGTAAGAGCCGTTGACCTTGAGCTTGAGAGCACGTGTCCCTCCACGAATCAAGTTTTATGTGCTTTAAATCCACAGCCTCAGAATGAGTTGGAAAAATATATACTGAATTGTTGAAGTCCTGTTGAGGAAATTCAGCAAAGGCTTCTCCTTAATGTGTTAAGTTTAGAGGTTGGCCAAAATAACGAACAAACTTTTCTCCAAACCTTGAAATGAATAAAGTGTGTACTTTTCCACACAAATCTGAACTTTTTCTTCGCTTGTAGAGGATTTATTGGAGGATATTTGGATAGCTCAAGTTTAATGGGAAGGTTTTCAGGAAGTAACGGGAAGCAGTGCAATGATCATCACAAAAATGCACAATGCATAGCCAATATAATCAGAATTCCAAGTGTTGAGTAATTTTGATTTGATACAAAATGTCAAAATAAAAGTAGCAGTTGGGAAACTCAAAATAGACTTATGCACATATGAAAAACTACATATTTATTTATGATATACTGCCCATCTATACCTCAGATGACTACTACAGTCCATGCTTTTCACCAACACTCATTATTTTTCTTAAATGTTTGTTTGGTATCTAATCATCATTAACCACAAAATACTTTTTATATTCCCCCACCTCACCGCTCCAAACAAGTAAACATGCACAAACACCGCATTTAGATTCAAATAATATGTGCTAGTGATCTGTGAACACGCCACTGAGATGTGCTAACTGAGATCATAGAAGAGATCTCTGTGCCAAAACAGCTTGCTTTTCTCGCCATAGGCATTTAATTGGCTGACGATTAATCTTTAACTTTTCTTCTCCCCACTCTTACCATGCTTAATCATCAAGCAGTTAACACCTGCTGTGGCCGATATTGGTGCTAATTTTCGTTTCTAGCCTTTTTTTTTTTCCCTGTCTTACGAGCATGTGCTGGCGACGAAAATTGTTTCTTCACCCTGGCAAAACATGGCATTCCTCCATGCACTTTATAATGCAAAAATCCGGTGTGCACAGTCCTTAGAGAGTATGATGATGTCTAAATTCTTTTTTGCACATCGCTGCATACTTAAGTCGTGTCTGTAATTGCTTGTACTGAAATAAAAAGCAGAAGGTAGCCGTAGGATAATCCGGGTGTCCGGAAAATAAAAAAGCAGTGACTGGCTTCTAACTGTGAGTCTCCCTGTTTGACTGTAATTTCTCTTTTTTACACCTCTGCGTGTGGCGTGGTGAAATCAGCGCACATTTAAACCAGGATCACCCACCTCACAGAGTTACATCTAGTATATCTCGTCTCCCGTAAATCTGATGCAAGTGTTCAGAAGGCAAGAACTTCAGCCCCCTCAGATGTGTCTCAGATGTGCCAAATGCTATAGCTGAGCTCAGCTTCTCACTTCCTGCCGGCCTAGGGAGGACATGACACTCGGCTCGAAAAGGCATCGAGTGGAAAAAAGGGCAATCTCCTTTCTTTTTAATGTAAAAAGCTCCGGCTTTGTTGTGCTTTCTGTGGATATCAAGGCCTTTCCACTCCCTCACTACCAAATCTCCCCCATAACCTACCCCCTACTGGCCTCCCACGGGTGTCTCCCCCCTTAACCTGCTCTCTCATCCTCTCATTCACCTGTGGTTTGAAGTAATTCTACCACTGGTGTGCCAGCTTGAGACCTCATTCCTTCTCCTTTTCAGACAGAGGGCTGGAGTTGACCTCAGAAACCCAGCCATTTCATCCAGAAAGAAAACTTATCAAACAACCACCCCAAAAGGGGTGTGTGTGTGTGTGTGTATATATATATATATATATATATATATATATATATATATATATATATATATATATATATATGAGGTGTAGCTTTGTTGGCTTGTTGGGTGACAGCTTCATTGTGATAAAACCGGGGGCCATGGGGATCTCACAGGTGCTGAGCCACGACAAAACAGACATTGTAGTAGCCAAAGCAGACAGCAGCTTAAGCAAAATAAAAAGTAAGCCAAAGTGTACAATAAATAAATAAAAGGGAAATGAAAATCCTATTTGATGGGGTCAGCTTGCTCAAATCAGAGGGAGAAGAATGGCATGGCTCTTAGCAGTGGCTTTGATCAGGGAAAGAGAGCCTAACCTAAGTTTAATTTAATGAAATCTATTGGGCAAACAGAGCCACTGTTTTCAAAGTGCCAGGTTAGGTCTGTCCCAGTGGGCAAGATGAGGACTCGCAGGCATTGATTGCGTCACGCAAAACACAACTTTAAGTGTGTGAGTGAAACTGGACGCCATGAAATGTGTGATTCGTGTGACTTGTGTATAATGAGGCATCGTAAAGCAACATTGGCTGGAGGATTTAAAGATACATTTGTCAGTCCTGATAAATTTCTCTTATCAGAATATATTTTGAGTACAGAGACCCCTCCTTCCTTTCGCCTGACTATGACAAACTGTTCTTTATCATTGTCAGGTCTCTGATTTATTATGTAGACTCAATAAAAATGAAGAGTTTTCTTTTTTCATTTTAACAACAAAATTGACATTATTTAGATCAGGTCATCATTATTTGGTTAAATGACAAACAATCCTCAGGTATTATTGAAAATGAAGTAACTTTATCAATTTCAAGCAAATCGTTTCTAATTTCCTTGTAATTTTTAACACTTTTCTGCTTTTCCAATCATCAGTAAGTAATTAGCTGAATAAGATGCACCGGTGGCTGTAACTTGCAGCCCTAATATCATTGTTATCATTATGTAATTGGTATAAATTCACTGGAATAGCTTTGCCTCAATTATTTAATATAAAATTTCATGAGGAGTATTGATCTCTTTAAGAAAAAAAAAATCACAACTCTTGGTCATTACTTTGCAGTAGCTATGAAGTTTAGACAAGTGTCTTCATATTTTTTTTTTCCCATTTTAAATCCTGAACCCTTTTGAGAGATTATTCACTGCATGGCTTACTTGGACTATCAGCACACCTCCTGCTGGCAGCAGATGGCGGTGTTGATCTAAGAATTTTCTTTGAGTAAGCTTCAACATCAGGAAGATATTGGGCACATTCACCAATTACTTTGCCCTGCTGATATGTGGTTGGACTTGCTCTGATAAATTCTTCTTACCATTGCTATGCCTAACCTCTGCTTTATGTTTAATATGCAAGATTGAAAATGGTGTCCCTGTGGTGAAAACCTATCTGAGTTCTTGCTTATAAGCTTATAAGTTTATGCATTTTCTTTTCTTTTTCTTTGCTTAATTATGCTTTGAAAAATACTTAAGCAAACAAAACAGAATATAAATTAAATGCCAAGTCCTTGGGAAAGTGAAATGCCTTTTTTAAACATTTCATGCTTTAACTCACAACAATATTCTCATTTCTTCTCTCAACTAGTTCTCCGAATATGTTTCACCTCTTTAGATCATTTCTTTTTTATTATATCCAAATAAACACTACTGGTCTAAATGTTTGTTTGTTAAAAGGTTAATCAATAGTCTTTAAATCTCAAGCTTTGACAAGTTTTGTTGTTGAGACCTTACATCTTTTTGTCATTTATTAAAAAGGAGGTCCTATAATGGTCAAGGCAGTTTTGTTGATGGCACGAGATCCATTGTGTTATGCGTTTTGTTTCATCTTATTGAATTTTGAATAGAAAACTATTTTTGGTTTGTCATAATACGCCACACAATGTTCCATCAAGGA